TTCCAATCAGGTATTTTAAAGACTATAATATATCGCGAAATTGTAGAATATGCTAATTGTAGCGATTTAAGAATAAAAATTGCTGTCGGTATTATTGAAAATATCAGACCTATTTGTGCACATACGGTAAAATTATCGAAAAGCCCTTTGCGTGATATTTACCTCGTGTCTTTTGCTTCAGGCTGTGCTGATACTCAGATAGATTTAGTTGTTATTCTTGATGCCTCGACCAGTGTTACAGAACCCAACTTTAAATTGATGCTGGAATTCTTAAAAGATTTCTTATCGATAGCGGACATAGATCGAGGCAATGTTCGTGTTGGTGTAGTTATCTACAGTACCAAAGATCACGTTCAGTTCCATCTGAACCAGTATAGATCTAAACAAGATATTTATAATGCTATAGACAATATCCCATACCGATTTGGTAGTACCAATACAGCTGATGCTCTTAAAACAATGCATAGAGAAATGTTTACACAACGTAATGGTGATCGTCCTGGTGTAGATAATATTTGTATTCTTATAACTGATGGTATCTCTAATATCAATTCTCGAAGAACAATTCCTGAAGCTGAGGCAGCTCGTAGTAAAAATATCCATATCTATGTTATTGGTATTGGTTTAACTGATTTAAGAGAAGTTGATGGTATAGCTAGTAAACCAGTAGAAGAAAACAGGTTTGCTGTTCAAGAGTTTGATGAACTGACTCCAATGAAAGACAAAGTTTTCTCATCACTATGTTTCTGCAAGTATTCTATAATATATAAGTGTTTTAACATCATAATGTCTTCTTTGTGTGATTACGTTGTTTAAACTTCGTGTCGTCATTCTTTCTTTTTTCCACGAAAGTTTCCATCTCAATCGCTTTCCTTTCATTGTAGTAACCTGTCGGTTTCTATTCCTTGTTTGTGTTAATACTGTTCAGATTTTGATTCATGAGACCTCAGTCACTGATTTTACTTTAATCCCTTTGGACTCTTTCTTTTTTTTATCACTTATTGTATTGTCTACTTTATGTGGTGTAACATGTTCCTTTATTTAATCTTTTCTTAGAATTCTTGTCTTTTTCTTTAATTGTATTCTGTGACTTCTTCAAAATCTTTCAAACTAGAGAGTAGGGTAGCAAAATGTAAGTTTTAGTTGATTAACAGTTTCACAGTCACGCGTGGGGCATATAGAATTTCAGAATCTAAAGGTTGTATGCAATCTACCTCTGAAATAGATCGTTGTAACCTTTATCTTTCCAATCGTATATCGTCAAAGCAAAGTGCTTTGCAGATATATTACGTCGTGTAGGTTTATCGGAGACCAACAGAGACACAATTTCGTGGGATATTAACCGTAGTGACTAGAGCATTTTTTGCCTATTTTGTTACCAACAGAGACACAATTTCGTGGGATATTAACCGTAGTGACTCGAGCATTTTTTGCCTTTTTTGTTTATACCAACAAGTAAACTGTTCCTTCTAAGAAGTCAGCATATCTCAATTAGAAAAGAAATCACACACGATTCTGGATTATTTGCATAGGTCGTATTGCTATATTTCTTTTTTTTTTCATGTGTGTTTTTTATGATCTGTTTGCATCGTTATAGAATGTTCATTATCGAAATAATGGGTTTGCTTAAAACGCCGATTACTGGTTAATGATTACGTCTTACAATTCTTGATGACAGAAATTTACTTGTTTTCTACTGTATATACAACACAAATTTCTGTTTCGGTGTTTGTTATTTGTAAAATTAACATTGTTATCTTTATTAGTAATAACAAGTGTCATATGTTCTTTATATCAGCGGATGTACAAATTTCACTACATATTTGTATTATTGGATATGGCTTTACGATAACAATGGCTATTAAAGAAATTCAATGCCTTTTCTACATCAATACATGGTGCAGTTAATAGTAAATAATAATTATCAATATGTACATGTATCAACAAACTATTATTAATGTCTGTCTTTCAGTTTGTGTAAAGTAATTAGCTCTTTAGCTTCCATTGTATTTTATTCCATATCTTTAATTGTATTTGTATCATTACAGCACCAGAACCAACTCCTATACCTATTACGTTGGCACCCCGAGTTAAGAGTAAGTTTCAAACTATCTTGTCCCCATTACTGTACATGAAAAGCATAAACACTTTCCAAATCAGGTATTTTAAAGACTATAATATATCGCGAAATTGTAGAATATGCTAATTGTAGCGATTTAAGAATAAAAATTGCTGTCGGTATTATTGAAAATATCAGACCTATTTGTGCACATACGGTAAAATTATCGAAAAGCCCTTTGCGTGATATTTACCTCGTGTCTTTTGCTTCAGGCTGTGCTGATACTCAGATAGATTTAGTTGTTATTCTTGATGCCTCGACCAGTGTTACAGAACCCAACTTTAAATTGATGCTGGAATTCTTAAAAGATTTCTTATCGATAGCGGACATAGATCGAGGCAATGTTCGTGTTGGT